CTTCCATGTCACCAGCCTCTCCTCAATCTTCTCCTTTCCTGGTTGCTCCTCAACCTCCTACCTCTTAACACCAGAATGTTCCAAGATTTGGTCCTTGGATCTCTTCTCTAAGTCCATTCCCTTGGCAATCTCACCTAGTCCATTTTAAATATAATTTATATACTAATAAACTTATAAATTTTTATCTCTGACTCAGACCTCTCCCCTGAACTTCACACTTGCATGTCCAGCTACTTATTTGATATCTCTGCCTTATTATCTAAAAGGCATCATACTTAAAATGCCCAAATATGAACTCAGTCAATGGCAATTCCATTCTTCCTGTCACTTATGCCAGAAACATTGGAGTCATCCTTGACTTCCCTTTTCTTTATACCCCAAATGCGTAGAGGGAGGAAAATGGAAAAGAAAATTAAAAGACAAGAAAGCTCAATCAATCCAAAATAAGATGAGAAAAGGGAAAAGAAACAGAAAAACAGAATAGAAAACCAATAAAACAAAACCAAATATATTAGTAATTACTCTAAATGTAAATGTACTGAGTTCTCTAGCTAAAAGACAGATTGTCAAATTGGGTTAAAAAAAACAACAACCATATCTCTCTATGTGCTTGTTATAACAGATACACCTAAAATATAAAAACACAGACTAAAATTCAAAGAATGTAAATATACAATATAGGTAAATTCTAACCAAAAGAAAGCTGATTTAACTATATTTCTAGCAGACAAAATAACTTTTAGGCAGAAAGCATTCCTAGTCATCACAAAATAAGACCATTACAAAATAGTAAATGGATCATTTAACCAGGAAGGTATAACAGTTCTAAACTGGAAAGCACCCAATAACACAGCTTTTAAAAATATATAAAAGCAAAATTTGACATATCCACAAGGAGATATTGACAAAATCATTATCATAGTAGGTATATTAACATACCTCCTCTAGTACTTGATAGTTCAAACAGACCCAAAAAAACTTATGAAATATATAGAATATTTTGAACAACACAACTAGCAGGCTGTCTTAATAGAAATAGGTAGGAAATTGCTCCCCAAAATTGGAGAGTAAACATTCTTTTCAAGCACACATGGAACATTTATAAAAACTGACCACACGCCAGGTCATAAAGTTAGCCTCACAAATGTCTAAATGCAGTTAAGTTAAAAATCCGTTATAAAAAGATAATTAATTAAGGGGGAAAAACCATAAGTTCGGAAAATTTTTAAATGTACTTCTCAACAACTTGTGGGTCAAAGAGGAATTCATAGTAGAAATTAGAAAATACTTAGAAATAAATGGTAATGAGAATACTATATCAGAACTGTGGGATGCAGCTAAAGTGGTACTATGAAGGAAATCTATAGCAGTAGTGCTTACATCAGGAAATAACTAAGGCTCAAAATAATGAGCTAAGAACTTAGAAAATTAACAGAATAAACCTAAAGAAATGGAAGGAAATAATGAAGAGTAGAAATTAATGAAGTAAAAAAATATTTAATAGAGAAGATCAACAAAACCAGAAGTTAATTATTTAAAAAGACTAATAGGGCTTCCCTGGTGGCTCAATGGTTAAGAATCCGCCTGCCAATGCAGGGGACACAGGTTCAAGCCCTGGTCCAGGAAGATCCCACATGCCGCGGAGTAACTAAGCCCGTGCGCCACAAGTACTGAGCCTGCGCTCTAGAGCCCACAAGCCACAACTACTGAGCCCACGTGCCGCATCTACTGAAGCCCACGCACTCTAGAGCCCATGCTCCACAACAAGAGAAGCCACTGCAATGAGAAGCCCACGCACAGCAAACGAAGAGTAGCCCCTCTTCGCCTCAACTAGAGAAAGCCCGTGCACAGCAACAAAGACCCAACACAGCCAAAAATCATAAACAAAAATAAATAAATTTATTTTAAAAAAAGACTAATAAAATAGACTAACTTCTGGCAAGAGTAACCAGAACAAAAAAAGAGAGTACAAATAATATTAAAAATGATAAGGGACTATAGCTAAATGTGCTACATATATTAAACAGATAAAGGTTTTAATAACTTTATGCCAATAAATATGAAAACTTCGATAAGATAAATAGATTCCTAGAAAAATACAATTCACCAAAACTGGCTAAAGAAGAAATAAAGAGCCTAAAAATCCTATATCCTGAACCTAAAATGGTGCTAAAAAAAATACAGTCTTTCCCAGAGCTGAGGCCATGGAGCTTATGATGAAGCTAACCATCAGAGGCTGGGTTGGGTCACACTGTGACCCACATTCCAAAAAGTTGGTCAAGTTACAGATTTGTTTACTTCAAAGGTGCTGCCTATGTGATGAAGAGGAAGACTAGGACTCTTCAATTTAAAAAAATTACATTTAAGGGGGACTTCCCTGGCAGTCCAGTGGTTAAGACTCTGCACTCCCAATGCAGGGGGCATGGGTTCAATCCCTGGTTGGGGAACTAAGATTCTGCATGCCGCACGACATGCCCAGAAAAATAAATAAATAAATAAAAATTTAAAAATTTAAAATTATATTTAAGAACTTGATACTTCATATTTCCTTTCTCTTACTGATATAGATATCACTGTTTTAGTATATTCCATCACCATTAAAAAAAAACACACAACTGATTTAGGCCCCCATTATTTAAATCCTTATTTGGGATCATTAATTTATATTAATAGACTATGTACTGTCTTTTTCATTATGTACCTTCCCCAAAAGTTACTCTCAACTAGTGCTGCAAACTGTGAAGCAGATTTCTTAAATCATTTTGGGAAAGTGTGGCAAAAGAGACAGCACTTTTCATTTTTTAGGGTAGAAAGTATGATTTTCTCTTCTCACTGATGTTCACTGAATATTTAACAATCATCTGTTGCATTCATAACATTTCTGCATCATTTATTCAAACACTCTTTCTCAAAACATTTATTGAGCAAATGCTTTTTTGCCAGGGGCTGAAATAGCCATAATATTATAGAAAGAGGAGGCTCAAGTCTATAAAACAATTGTTCTTTTTTTTAATTTTTGGCCACACTGCCATGCAGGATCTTAGCTCCCCAACCAGGGATGGAACCCGTGTCCCCTTCAGTGGAAGCACGGAGTCTTAATCACTGGACCACCATGGAAGTCCCTATAAAACATTTAAGGGAGGAACTTCTCAAATTATTTGCCTATTAGTCACCACCTGTAAATTCTCCCCAGCCAACATAAAGCCAAAATTACCAAAATAATGCTGCTAAAACCTGCCCTGGACCAACTGAGATAAGATAAAGATAACATTTTCAGTAATGGAAAGGCTGTGTGCTTTGGAATCACAGTTTATTGTTTATGGGACGTTTTGGATCTTCATGTTTTGGGGAAAAAATTGTAGGCTGTTAAATAATTCAATAAAAACCTTCATTTTGGGAATTCCATGGCAGTGCAGTGGTTAGGACTTGGCACTTCCACTGCTGGGAGCCCGGTTTCAATCCCTGGTCAGGGAACTAAGATCCTGCAAGCCAAGCGGCCAAAAAAGAAAAAAACAGAAACAAAACTTCATTTTACCTTTGTTAATTATAAATTAAACTTAACCTCGATTTTTTATATCCTAAAAATATATAGTCTATATTTTTTTTAAAAAATCTTATAACCATTAACAAATTTGAATGAACTTAACTTTCCTCAAAGCCAGCACCAGGTCCAGATGGCTTCAGCAGTGAATTCTTCTGAGTCAACAGTAAAACGGATAATTGAATTGTGGTATTGTCATACAGTGGAGTGCTAAACAGCAATGAAAATAAGCAAACTACAGCTGCATAGATCCATATGAATAATTCTCAAAACAATGCTGAGTGAAAGAAGCAGAGAACTCATATACTGTGATTCCACTTATATAACATTCAAACATAGGCAAAATAACAAATACATAAGTATACATAAATAGATGTATATTAAAGATGTATATTTATAGATGTACTATAAAGAAAAGCAAGAAAATAATTACCATAAAATTCAGATGTGTTTATGGGGAGTTAGGGGTGCAGTATGCAAGGAACATACAAAAGGATTTCTGAGGTACTAGGATACCTCTTAACCTGAGTGTTGGATACACAGGTGTTCTTTTTATTGTTACTCTTTAATTTCATTCCTAGGCATATACTCTGGAGAAATTCTTGCACTTGCAGAAGACATTTTATATACTCTTTTGTATATATGATATCTTTTTCAATTTATAAAGTTATTTATTCTATGCAAGAGGAATGTTGGATATGTTTGTAGTACCGACATGGGGAAAACATCCAACACATATTAAGTATCAAGCATGTTATAGAACTCAATAACTCTGAACAATATACACTAAAATGTGAACACTGGCTACCTCTGGGATGATTTCCATTTCAAAATTATACATTCTGGAGTGTTCCAATATTTTGCAATAATCTCATTCACTTTTGTGGTCAAAAAACTAAAGTTTATTTTTATATGTATAAAAAAACTGTTTAAAATAGAGAAATACTTTTCTGGAAAGAGGGACTTTTTTTCCCTTTTGCAAACTGAAAAGAGTTCCCTGACAACACCCTGACTGTACAAAAGAGAATTTGTGAGGACAGAAGTTTCAAAATGGGAAGGGCTGCTAGACTTAGGTTCCTTCAATGGGGTGTAAAGAGTGAATGGGGTCTGGTCAGTCCCTCTGGCTTACCAGACTTTCCCAACCACAAAGCAAACCTGCTTGTCCCCTGCCATTCTCCACCCCCGGCTCAGGAGAGTGAATGAGGTCTTGGCCAGCTGCCTTCCAGTCCTGCCCCAACGTTCCAGGTTCCCAGCCGACTGAGCATCTGGCAGTTAAGCCAAAGGCCAACAATGTCCTGACTTCCTGAGTAAATACCTGTGAACAGAGAGAAGACATAGTGGGGTCAGAGCAAGGACTACACAACAAGGCAAAGAACAGAGCCAAGCCGTGATAGGGGATAAGGAGAGCTCAGGAGATCTTGTTCTGGGCCATCCCGTGATTTTCCCTGTCTCCCTCCAGCCCCCAGAATTTTCCATTGCAACTGGTGGGGACTCGGGCTCTTGGGCTTGGAGAGACATGGCGAGGTGGAGCCCCAAAGAGTTCATTTCATCAAGGGAAAAAATTCCAGGCTTTTGCAGGTACTGTACCCTTTGTCTAGAACGTTTTCCCTCCATCTTATCCTGGCTAGCTTCTGTTCATTCTTCAGATTTCAAGTTATGGACCACTTCCTCTTGGAAGCCCTACCCAACTCCCACCACTGTACATTCACCAACCTCCAAGAAGAGATCGGAGGCCTCTCTGCTGCCACAGCCTCTCCCTCCCTTAGCCAGCACTATCCCACTCTAACAGTTGTCTTTCCCACTGGAATTTTAACTTCCTGAGGTCAGGGACCATGACTATCTTACCACTGTGTATCTCTAGTACCTGGATACTCCAAAAGTACTCAGAAAACGTTTTGATAAATGGATGAATAAAATGAAGGAAAAGGCAGAGAGGGCAAGTGACAAAGAATCTTTCCACTTGTCTGGAGTGTGGTTCTAAGCAGCCTATGGGAGGAGCGTCCAAGGCAAAGAAAGCTGCAGGAGGCTTTATCCTCCCTTCCTCTCCTCCCTGCTCCTTCCCATTCTTTTATCATTGTGCCCTCCCCTTCCCCACCTCCCATCCCTTCCAGTTTGGTGTGAGCTTGAGCTCCCTCTACTGGCCAGACTTCAGTGCCACAGGGAGCCAAGCCCATGAACCCTCGCTTGTTTCCTTCTTTCCTCTGGAGAGACTCTGCTACCCCCTCCCCCACTAGGGGGTTCAGGAGGGACTGGAGCATGTAGAGAAAACAGGGCTGTTCAGCACACTGGAGCTTTCCAAGGTCTGAGCCCGCACCTCCCCATCCTCAACACCAGGAGCATTTTCCTCACACCCTTACCTCACGCTCAGTTTCCTGGAGCCCCAACTCCATACCAGCTAATTCACAGAGATGTTGATTTCCGGAGCCTATGGCTGATACATCAGCTCTGACTATGGAACAGAGATCCCAAGATGAGTTGGGAACAGAAAGACAAAAGACTGAGACAGATAGCAGAGAAAAAGGAACCCAGAGAGTGAAAGGATATAAACCCACATTAAGACAGAGATCAGGACTTTGTCCCCAGGCCTTTCCACCCACCCTGGGCTTATATGAAGAAAAAATTTCCCTCGCTCCTTCAGTGTGCCTATGTTAATACAGAACAAAGAGGAATGATTGTGTTGATCAGATCTTCAGACTTAACAGAGATATTACACTTTAGGGGCAACTGCTGGAGAAGACCTCTCTCCCACACCCCTGCCCTGTTCTCCTGAGAGAGCCCATCCTGGAGCTCACATCTTCATTGTCACTTCCACTGAATGAGTACTCTGGCTCCAGCCCCTTCTCAGTGATGCTTCTCTCCTCTGGCATCGGCTCATCCAGCCAGAGGAGTGCCTGTGGTGAGAAGACCCACTCCAATGCTTTTCGGACCCCCACCAGGTCTAGCAACTGCAGGGATAGAAACAAAGCCAAGGGCTGTCAGCAATAGCCATGGCTCTTAACTTCCTCAGTGAGTAAGAACAAAGCCAGAAGCCACTTACATTATCACCTTACTGAGTAACAAAAGTGCCAGCCTTGCCTCTCCCAGGTCTTCAGTTTTCTTCTGGGCTTTATATCCCTACCTGTGGCTGATCAGCCCAAAGAGATTGGGAAAGGAATTGAACCAGGTATCCCAGGTCTAGCCCATCTGTAGTCATCTCTTGGCCATCTTTCTTTGTCCTAGGATTCCCAACCAGGCACAGCCAAGGCAAGTGACAGAGCGTAGATTCTTCCTCTCATTCAGGCCTTGGCCACCCTCCCAGGCTGAGTGTCCTGGGAGCCATCAGGACACCACCCAACTCTGCCCCGAGTAACCATGAGGAGGAAGATGATGGCTGCAGGGGTAGACTTGATTATCCAAAGCAGACCCAGGCAGGCAAGTTGGATGGCTGTGAAGAACTGGACCCTCCTCAGAGGCACATGCCGCAAGAGCAGAAGGTCCGGCTGGTGCTTTGCTGGCATCAATAATAGCTGCACCCTCTTCGTGAACTGGGGGAACAAGAGGAGGAGGAAAGCAGTGTACTCAGGTAGCCTGCAGGGTGTCACTGTTAGCTATCCAAGCCCAGCGTTGGGAATGGTCAGAAGGCTCCCTTGGTCCCCTCCCCAACCACAGCGTGGCAGCAGAGTCCCTATGGCCAGGAGAGGCAGGAAAAGAGGAGAGGAGGGGAATTGGCAAATGCAGGCAGGAGGTACCAGCGGGAAAGAAAAGGAGAAGAGTGGGGTTACTTGGTGATTTTAATGGACTCACCTGGATGCTGCTAATTGCTGTCACCCCCATGTATAGGAAGATGCCATAGAGCAGAGGCATTGGGATGAATTGGTAGAGAGAAGTGGAGAGCTGGCAAAGTAGTTCACCTCTGCCAGCTGCCCAGATACCCACCCCCCCAGGCTCCAACCCCAGCCTCCAGCCTCCAGCATGTAAGCTACCCACTTTGTATTGCCTGCTTTCATTGAAGCTTCACATCAATCAGATGGAGTAAATTCTATAATTTTCTCCATTTTACAGATCAAGAAACTGGATTTCAGAGAGGCTAAGTAACTTGCCCATTACCTCTCTTACCACTCTTCTCTCTCACATTCCTCTCTGCTCTCTCTGTTCCTGCTATACTGGCCCCCTTTCCTTTCCTCACTATGTCCAAATTTACTTCTACCCCTTGCAAGGCCTTTTGCTTTGCTATTCCCTCCACTTATGTTTCTCTTTTTTTCCCCCCGACCAGGGATTAAACCTGGACTGCCAGAGAATTCCCTATTCCCTCCACCTAAAATGCTCTTCCCTGACATCCCTCTCACTACTCACGCTTCTCACTACTCATGTCATGACACCCCAGAAACCAGCCAATCTAAAGTAGACCCCTGGGGACTTCCCTGGTGGCTGAGTGGTTAAGAATCCACCTGCCAATGCAGGGGACATGGGTTCGAGCCCTGGTCCGGGAAGATCCCACATGCCACAGAGCAACTAAGCCTGTGTGCCACAACTACTGAGCCTGCCCTCTAGAGCCCGCGAGCCACAACTACGGAGCCCATGTGCCACAACTACTGAAGCCCGTGTGCCTAGAGCCCATGCTCTGCAAAAAGAGAAGCCACCGCAATGAGAAGCCCACATACCACAATGAAGAGTAGCCTCTGCTCGCCGCAACTAGAGAAAGCCTGCACACAGCAACGAAGACCCAATGCAGCCAAAAATTAAATAAATTTATAAATAAATAAATAAAGTAGACCCCTGGTGCTCTTAATCACCTTATCCTCTTTTATTTTTCGTAGAAGTTATCACTATCTGAAATTATCCTAGTTTATAGCTTTAATTGTTTTTATCTGTCTCCTCTCACCAGAATGCAAGATATGGATGATCTGTTTTGATCACCACTATATCCCCAGTCCCTGGAACAGTGCTTGGCACATGGCTTATGCTCGGTAAAAATCTGCTGAATGAGAGTCACCTAGTTAGTCAGCGGCTGATCCGGTCCATCTGGCTCTTTCAACTACTCTCCTCTCACCCAGCCTCCATAACCTTTCCCTCTGCTAACCTCTTGTCGTCCTGCCTGTGAATTGGTGTAACCATTCTCCACATCCTCCTTGACTGCTTTGCTGTCTTGGCTTGTTGAACCTTTCTGCTGTTACTTGTTGCTTAATTTTTATTCATGTGTATGTGTTGCTGACAGGGGCTTGGTTCCATATTCTTCTTCAATATTACTCCCCTCCCCACCCTCTTCTCCCAGGTGCCTCGCAGAGCCTTGTACACAATAGGTGTTTATAAACATCTGGTGAGGGAGAAGTGAAGGGGTTTTGCCTCCAAGTTTTTCTGGGTTGTGATGATCACACTCTTAGTCTAAGGCTCATTGAGAGTCTGGAGCAAGGGTAGTGCTTGGGCCCTGGGGATGGTGGCATGTCTGCACCCTGCTCCACTGGGTAGAAAGCCTACTGGGTCAGAGTTTGGGTTCTCAGATAGATCTGAGAAACTAGGTCTCTTGGTGGTCTCTTGTAAGCTCCTTAACCTCTTTAACCTTCAGGTTCCTCGTTTTTAAAGTGCGTATGCCTCTCAGCGGTAATGTGAGCATTAAATGAGACTATGTATGGAGAAAACTTAACACAGTGCCCAGCATGTGGTAAATGTTCAGCCAATGTCAGTTCTTCCTATATTTATTATTATTACTGCCCTGCCCCCGATGCTGGCTTGTCTGACTAAGGTGCCTTGAGTATAGGTGCCAGGAAGATGGAGATTCTTGTGAGGATGAACACCGCCAGGCCCGTCGGCCTCTGCTCTCTGTGGGGAAAGGAGGAGTTAGCTAGGGTCTGGGAGAGCCCCTAGGGTGCCCAGGCTGGGCACGCTGGCCAAACATCACAACAGACCCTGGCAGGAGGGAAGCGGAGGGATCCCTCGACAGTAACCTGGCAGGGAGGGGACCTTAGCTTGGTGTGAAAAGTTGGCAGAGAGGAAGGGACAGGTCACTTCAATACGGGGGTCCCAGTCCTCTTCAGCAGCTCTAGCTCAGGGCTGCTCTTTGTTTTTATCTTTTATTTTGATGGAAAATTAGCAATTTTTATACTAACATAAAAACTTCTACTTCATAATTTGCAAAGTTGATTTCACATACTTTCGACAGTTAGACTGTGTTTCCAACAAAATTGTTTTTGTGATGGTTACTTTGTAATATCAATGAGGTGCTTCTACACTGAGTGGGGATTATTAGGTAGCACCTCATCCTTGCTCAGCCCTGGCTGCTTCCACACTCATATCCATGATGCTCCTCTGGAGGCCCCTCCCAGTCTCATGGCTGAAGGAGGAGAGGGGAAGACCTGACTCACCCACCTCAGAGCCCAGAACCCACCCATTCACCCCACAGCAGCGCTCATGGGGCAGTGAGAGAGCCCTCTGGAGTCACCAGCTTACCTTTTTTTTTTTTTTTTTTTTTTTTCGGTACGTGGGCATCTCACTGCTGTGGTCTCTCCCGTTGAGGAGCACAGGCTCCGGACGCACAGGCTCGGCGGCCATGGCGCACGGGCCCAGCTGCTCCGCGGCATGTGGGATCTTCCCGGACTGGGGCACGAACTCGTGTCCCCTGCATCGGCAGGCGGACTCTAAACCACTGCGCCACCAGGGAAGCCCACCAGCTTACAATTTAAGCTGCCCAAATAACTCTGCCCTGTACCCAATACCCCACCTTGCTGCCCACGTCTCATTCCAGCCTCCTGAATACTGGCCTCACCTGATGCCCAGGAAGCTGGGAGCCTCCCCTGGGACACAGGCTCTGCTTTCTCTCCAAAGACTGTCCATGTGGGCCAGGGAGATGACAGTGGCTGAGACATACCAGGGCAGCCCAAGAGCTGATGTAAGCAGCATCAGCACGGACACACAGAGGAGGTCCAGGTGGAAGCCAGCCCCCTTCTGCAGATAGCGGTGGGGCAATGAGGATGAAGCTAGCCCAGATCTGGGCCCTCTGTCCTCTGGGGTGGGAAAGGGGGAGCCTGGACCCCACTCTGGAGCTCCTGTCCTTGGGCTAGGGACCTAGGGTCTTACCCAGCAGGCCTTACCCGCAGTCTATATTCGGTGCGGTTGAGGATGACCCCTGTGATCTGCTGGTCCATGAAGATGAGGATAGACAATAGCAGGGCAGGCAGGGCGGCTGCCACACTCAGCCACCAGGGGTTGGCTCCAAAAGGTAACACTAGCCAGCCATGTCCAGGTAGTGTGGGCTAGGGAAGGGCAGTCCGTGGACAGGTTGGAGAGGGTATCTCAAGAGCACCTCACCTGCACACTCCAGCCTTGGCACTCTTCCACAGCTCCCCCCCTCATCCTCCCCCCCCTCCCCGCATGCTCTAAGACACTGAATGCTAGGTGGGAGCAGTCTGTATGTGCACAGCTGGTTCAAAGCATCCCAGTGCAAGGATGGCAGAGGGCAGAAGGAGGGGGACCAGCCTAGGGGCTGGGCTGGAGCTAGGGGCTTTGGACTTTGGTTCTCAGGGTCCTTCCCTCCCTGCAAGAGGAGGAGGTGGTGGAGGAGGCCCGCCCACACTTCTTGATGTACAGAGAGCTTCTCCCTAGGCACCCCGCACCCCCATCCAACGCTGGGCAACTCAGGTTCACACCTGCCTTGATCTGGGGCAGGGGCAGGGCTGGGTGTGTCTGAGTCTGCCCTGATTACAAGCGTCTGCTGCGGGGGAGGGCCCCAGTTGCTGCCTTGGGTTCTGAGCCCCTGAGGCTGCCTCAGTTGGAGCCCCCGTGCTCTCCTGCCGTGAGGGAAGCTGGAGGGGAAGTCTCCAAATGCACAGGCAAAGTTTAGGTGCTAAGTCAGTGCTGAGCCTTGTCCTGTGTACTGTCATGCCCTGGGCAGGGAGCTCCAGCTTTACTGGATCAGAGCAGGCAATCGTGGGTGCCAAGAAGAATTTGGGGAGTAGTGTAGTGGGTAGGGCCATGCCAAGGGTAGGGAGAACATGTAACAACAATAGCTAGCATTTATTGAGGTCTTGGTATGTGCCAGTCCCAGAAATGCGATAGTGCTATGCACTATGATCTTCTGTGAATCTCAAAACAACCTATGACGTAGAAACTATGGTAGTTTATTATTTCCATTTTATAGATGAAGAAATTGAGGCTCAGAATGCGGGTTAACTTCCCTAAGTCACACAGCTAGGAAGTGACAGAAGTGGAACTCAGACCTAGGGCTGGCTGACCAGAACCCATTCTTTTAACCCCTTACCTATAATAGTAGCTACCTATTCTGTGCTTGCTATGTGTCTGGCACACGATGTGTCCTCTCAACAACTCTGAGACCATTATTATACTATTTCTATTTTATGAGTGAGAAAACAGAAGACTAGAGAAGAAGTATGGGATCTATTCATCTTCCTCCTCTAGGGTCCTTTCTGTTGGCCCTGCTTTGCCCTCTGCCCTCCACTCCCAGGTCTCACCTTGAACTCTCTGGGGACCGTGAGCTTCGGCGTGGGTAGGCCCAGGAAGGCATCGAGGCCACAGCCCAGCAGGATGGCCAGGACTGAGAAGAAGTCACCCAGCATCTTGCACACCTGGCCACCCAGCAGACACTCAGGTTCAGGCCACCATCCCCTTCCTTCTGCCCCCTTTCCCATTTGCAGACAGGGCCCGAGGCCAAGAGCCAGTTCTCTCCCACAGAAAGAGAGGTGACACTTACCATGGAGGGGAAGAAGCAGCTGGTCTTTACGTGCTTGAGGGCCATGGCAAAGAGGAAGGAAGTAACGAAGAAGAGAATGGAGAAGAAGGCAATGTCTGGGACTGTATGACAGCCAGGCCCATGAGGATGGCCTCCCTGCCGGGCACACTCAGGTGGGGACAGCAAGGATGCATTGACCAGGCCTAGGTCTTGTGTGGAGAGGTGGTCCTGGATGGGGTTATGGGCAGTGAAATAAATGTCCACTGATGTCCACTGAGACTGAGTACACAAGATAGGAGATCTGCAACCATAGCAAATGGCTGGGCCTCAGTGACCTATGAGGGGTGGGAAGAGCCTGGAACTACTGACTTCTTTGGTCTCCACCCTTTCTTTCCCGGGCCCTCCCAGGAATAGGCCCTCACCACGCTGAAGATATCATCTCTGTCTTTTGGCTTTGTGCTTGTCCACTGAGACTCATTTCCTGGAAGGAGAGAAAAATTCAGGTGGGGACTTCCCTGGTGGCACAATGGTTAAGAATCTGCCTGCCAGTGCAGGGGACCCAGGTTTGATCCCTGGTCTGGGAAGATCCCACATGCCGCGGAGCAACTAAGCCCATGTGCCACAACTACTGAAACTGCACTCTAGAGCCTGCGAGCCACAACTACTGAGCCTGCAAGGCACAACTACTGAGCCCGTGAGCCACAACTACTGAAGCCTGCGCACCTAGAGCCCATGCTCCACAACAAGAGAAGCCACCGCAATGAGAAGCCCACGCACCGCAACAAAGAGTAGCCCCCGCTCGCCGCAACTAGAGAAAGC